AGACACATTTTCTGTCCTAAAGATATCACGAAGCAGAACTTACCTTGTGATTTTCTGTCTTAAAGATATCGTGAAGCAGAAATTACCTTGTGATTTTCTATAGACACATTTTCTGTCCTAAAGATATCACGAAGCAGAACTTACCTTGTGATTTTCTGTCTTAAAGATATCACGAAGCAGAATTTACCTTGTGATTTTCTATACACATTTTCTGTCTTAAAGATATCACGAAGCAGAATTTACCTTGTGATTTTCTATAGACACATTTTCTGTCCTAAAGATATCACGAAGCAGAATTTACCTTGTGATTTTCTATAGATACATTTTCTGTCCTAAAGATATCACGAAGCAGAATTTACCTTGTGATCTTCTGTAGACACATTTTCTGTCCTAAAGATATCAGGAAGCAGATTTTACCTTGTGATTTTCTGTAGACACATTTTCTGTCCTAAAGATATTGCGAAGCAGAACTTACCTTGTGATCTTCTGTAGACACATTTTCTGTCCTAAAGATATCACGAAGCAGAACTTATCTTATGATTTTCTGTAGACACATTTTCTGTCCTAAAGATATCACGAAGCAGAACTTACCTTGTGATTTTTTGTCTTAAAGATATCACGAAGCAGATCCTACCTTGTGATCTTCTGAAGACATATTTTTCAACATAAGTTTTACAGAAGCACTTCCTCCTATATGTGTCACTGGAAAGTCAATTCTTCTGATAACTGGAAACACAGGTTCTTTTGAGTTCTCCTCAATAGAATCTCCTGCACTAGCACTTCTGTTTAAACAAATATGAAGAAAAAAAATCCCATGTTTAGTTTCAGCTAAACAATAGATAAGTCTTCATGTAAAATATTAACAAAAAATATCTTAGAATATACACCAGTCTTGAATAAAAGTTGCACTATTAATATGCAAGATATTTCTTCAATATAAAATAACAAATGTACAACATTAAAGTCAATACACAATTAAAATAATTTCAAAATAATGACTACATGTTTCGACATGTCACACGTCATCTTCAGAAGTGAGGCTGCAAGAGATAACTTTCATATTTTATATTTTCTTAAATATCACATGACCTGTAATTTTGCATTTGTACATAAATATCAGAATAAGTCTTGCCACATTTTTTACACAGATATTCAAAAAAATTCGATGGACCTTCATCTCTATTTTATAATTCTTTTTTAAATTTAATTTTCTACAGCGGTTCTCAAGTAGTTGCTATAATACCTTTAGGTTGAGCTAATACAATTGTTTTTTTCCCCATAACATGTCATGTTGGGTTTTGCTTACATGTTCTGCTATAGCCAAATTTTCTGTTTTTCATTTCTTATACACCTCTTGTGATCGGATATATGATATTTTAAATTACGTTTTGTTTGTCCAGTATAGATATTTCAACATTCACATTCAATTTTATAAATTCCAAATTTATCCATTAATTGTACATCATCTTCACTATTGCCTAAAATTTGTTTTATCTTAGTTATTGGTTTAAATATAGATGAAAGCATTTGTTGTTTTTTTAAATAAACCAGAGTAGTTAAACCTGGAATATATAGTAACAGTAAACATTCCTTTCTAATTTTATCATAACTTGGTTTCAGTGTGATACCTTGATCTATCATTGCCACATTAGTGAATTCATTAACTGCTATTTATTTTATCAGTAACAACTCATTTTTTAAATAATCTTGTTTTGTACATATCCTCAAAATTTTGTGAATATAAATGTGAAATGCCAACACTTTTTATGTTTCTGTATGACACGATTTCTGGTGTGGTGGTATAAGATTGTTTGTTTGTTTGTTTTGAATTTCGCGCAAAGCTACACGAGGGCTATCTGTGCTAGCCGTCCCTAATTTAGCAGTGTAAGACTAGAGGGAAGGCAGCTAGTCATCACCACCCACCGCCAACTCTTGGGCTACTCTTTTACCACCGAATAGTGGGATTGACCGTCACATTATAACACCCCCACGGCTGAAAGGGCGAGCATGTT